GGGTCACATGATGCAAACCTCCTCGTGGTGTGACCTGGACATCAAGCGATTTTCGTTTGATGACTGATATGCGTCTATTAACAATAAAAAGTTTATTAGTTAATATTTGTAATTTGAATAAATAATTAATAAAAATAAATAAATTTATTTAGTGCATATTTTTATTTCACAAAAATGTTATAATAAAAATGTTACAATAAATAATTAATAAAAATGAATTTTAGTATTTTTATTTTACAAAAATGTTACAAATGGGGTTGCCAATATTGTGAATAAAAAAAAAAAAATTATACTATCGTTATCGATAAGTTTACTAATTTATATCCAAGGTGACTTTTACACGGGTACGATCTTGACCCACCTGGGAAAAAAAAGCGAAAAAGAAAAAAAATTAAAAACGAAAAAAAGCGAAACTGAAAAAAAAATTAATAATATTTAAAAAAAAAAGATTAAATTCGAAAAAAATTAGAGATTAAAAAAGATAGACAAAAAAGGTCAAAAAAAAAAGTAAAAAATACAAATTATTACTAAATACGAACAAGATTAAAAATTCAACATGATTAGGAATTTTCATTCACCACGTAAAACACATCCACACATTTTCTTAAACATAGCGAATTATTTGTTCTGCAAGAGCATGACTTAGTTTCGCAATTCGTTCGATCGCTGCTTGATGTGCTGCAAAATCACTTCACAAAAATTTTCCATATAGAGAATTCCTAAATTAATTCTATCTGTCTTGCTCAAGCACGTTAATGTTTCTGTAATACTTACCAATATAAAGAATTTCAAAGTCCGCTATTAGAATGTTGGGTTATTACATTGAAAGTTTTGAATATTTTTAGTATATTTAGACATTCGTTATCGTTATGATGACTTTTATCTATCAAGCTTCTCTTATTTTTTCTTTTACTGATGAAGTTCTTTAATATTCGATGCCTCATGAGTCATGGAGATATATCCTTACAATTCATAAGTGTTGAAGATAATACGCAGTGATAACTGATCAATTCAAGTATAACGAATAAAAAAAGATCGATTCAAGTATAATTAAACTATTTAAATTTATTATCTTTATTATCGAACACCCTATCAATAACGTACTCGCCACAAAATGATATTTGGGTAGTTATATAATTATTTCTTTCAAGAATTAGTTTTTCTTTATTAATAAGATAAAAATACAAAATACAAAATTATAACTTTCTAATTCAAGAATTTTATTTATCAAATTTCAAAACTTTATTAAATATTGCTTAATTTAAAAGATAAATTGTTAAAATTTATAAATTTATCAAAGAAACAATCTAAATCAAATTACTTAATAATAATTGATAGAAGCTTACCGGCTATTCGAGTTAAAATTCAATTTTTAAATAATCAAAAGAAGTTTATAATATTTTCTTCCTACATATGGGGTGAATCAGTAGAAATCAAACAAATTGTTTTATTGAATTTTTTTAAACCTTTAAACACTAGTAACTCAACAAAAACTTAATCAAATTTAATAAAAAAAAATTTATTAAATTTGATTGTTTTTGTTGAGTTTATTGTCATTTAAAGTTTTAAAAAATTTACTTAGAAAAAATTTGCTTGGTTTCTACTGACTCAACACCATATGCCAAATGAACAAATAATACCTATAATTTAACTTAGAAAAACAATAATTTAGGCTACATATAAAATGACTAAAATAATACATATATAAATAAGTAAAGCAGAAAAGTGTAAAAAATAATTAAATAATAATAAAAAAATACAGCTTAATCAATATTGATGTCAATTATACTGCAAAAATCTACACGCTATAAAGCATTAAGCATTATCTTTATGGTTAGATTCATGAACAACATTTGAACTATCTTCTAGGCTCTCATTTTGTTTGCTTGCATTATTTACTAGTCGTTTACGTAAGAACCATATCATCATAGCAAATGCAGCACCACCAATGAAACCACCAATAAAGCTACCAAAAATTACCCAGGTAAAAAAACTTTGATCATCCTGTTTTGAAGGAGTAGCGGAAATAGCTGATGGAACAAAACTTGTAACGCTTGGAACGATTCCACTGGAAATATTAGAAACATTATAAATTCTCAAAGTATTCGTAGGGAAGTCACTTTGAGAACCTAAGCATTAAGGTTAATTTGTTAATTCAAAGAATTTGAAGAAAATGTTATTGATATTTTATCTCTTAACATACCAAACGCCAGAAAAAGAATATCTTGGTAAAGATTTGCCGTGGCTCCATATAAACTTACAGAGGGATATGAAGTTCCTAAAGGATGGGAAATTTTCATACTTACAGTATCTAAGAGTCCTAATGGATTGGTTTTATTCGACTCAAATATAATGATTGTAGTGTTATCATTTACTAAGCAAGATTTAGTATACACTCGTTTAAAAAAATATAGATATATCAAAATATAAATATTACATACATAATGTGGCAGTAGGAGCAATATAATACACATCTGATATATCATATGTTGCGAACTGTATTATATATAATATTAATAATGTGTATTATCAATGCATTGGGACTTATTGAAATGCATACCTTCCTAAACCATTGTTGAGTCACAGTATCAAAGATATCTATCTAATAATAATAATAATAATAATAAGTACTTCAAAAGTAAAAGTCGGGAATCTTGGAAAGTTAAAAGACAAGAAAACAAACCACCCAGTCGAAAGGAAATTCATTGTGAGCTAATTTAATTCATAATATAATACACTGGCGATCATAAGTAGTGCAACAAAAAAAAAATTTTAGTTAGATCATATTATCTCACGCAATTCCGGGC